GAATAGAATAGAATAGAATAGAATAGAATATTGGAATGTAGAATAGAACAGAATAGAATAGAATAGAATAGAATATTGGAATGTAGAATACAATAGAATAGAATGGAATGGAATAGAATGGAATGGAATGGAATAACGAGGATCTTGGAAGTCTTGTAGTCCAACCCTATATGGGCTTCAAAAATTTTAGCAAAGTGTTCTCTGTCCGGTTGCTGGGTGGGCATGGCCATGGTGGGCGTGGCTTAGTTGGCCTCTTGCACCACGGTGGGGGTGGCTCATTTTTGGCCCTGCCAGGGCTCCGGAGTTTTTCCTCGAGCCTCCAAGGAGGGTGAAAATGGCCTTCCCCAGGCTCCTCTCCTGAAATCTTCCTTCCCTTCCCTTTTTGTTAAAATGAAATAAAAACAGGACATTTCTCGCCTCTGGAGCTGCCTCCTAACCTCCAAAGCCCGTCATCGCAGGCCTAGTTTATCCTCATATCAATCATCATCAGCATCATAAATAAAACATTTGCGTTTGCAACTGGTTGGCAAAGCTTTTGTCTTGCAGGCTCCAAGGTGTCCATCTGGATTGCACAGGCTCTGCCCTATTGGAGGAGAAGGCGCATGGCTTTCAATAAAGGGAGTGCATTTGGGGTCGATGTGCCATAAACCACAATACAGGGAAAGGCTTACTGTAGCCTTGGGTAATCACAGAAGGAGACACCATTGCCTCCTCATAAAGGAGTCATTATCCTAATGCACTCAAACCGTGGCGTTGAGTCAACACATTTCCAAATTAATTGTGGAGTGAGACCGTAAATGCACAAGGTAAACCCATCGACAAACAACGCGGGCGCATACGTGTAGATCTATCGTACATCCCAGTCTTTCTCAACTGTGAAGAGGAGCAGACTTCACGTCCCAGAATTCCCCAGCCAGCCCATGCATGGCTGGGGAATTCTGGGAGTTAATGTCTGCTCATCTTAAAGCATGTTGGTCAGGGAATTCTGGGACTTGTAGTCCACACATCTTAAAACAAGTTGGCTGGGGAATTCTGGGAGTTGAAGTCCATCTATCTTAAAGCAGGGTGGCTGGGGAATTCTGGGAGTTGAAGTCTGCCCATCTTAAATCATATTGGCTGCAGAATTCTGGGACATGAAGTTCACTCCACTTAAAGCATGCTTGCTGGGGAATTTTGAACCTTGAAGTCCACCCATCTTAAATCATGCTTGCTGGGGGATTCTGGGACATGAAGTCCCCTCATCTTAAAGCAGGCTGGCTGGGGAATTTTGTGTGGTTTGGAAAGGATTGTGCAATCCTATTCTTGACGTATTTTTCCTCCACAATTCATATAATGTACAATTTAACTTGCTTAAACCAGTTTGTAGCTTCTGGGGATTTACAGCACTGATAAGGTATCGACTAAGATACAAATACTCTGATGGAGGTAATCAAATACATTCCATCTACTTCTCCTGCTGCAAATGTTTAATTTTAAGGCAGCTCGTGGCCACAATTTCTGTTCCTTCTTGGAACACACAAATCACATTTTCTTTAAAAGAGAAGTAATCTCCAAGTATGTAAAAAAAAAAACCCACACAACTTTAAATATCTTGCAAATGGTCAGGTTTGTTTAAAAAGGAAAATTAGAGAAATGCTAACGTATAGTCTGCTTGTTAATTTGGGTATTTTTGTAATGATTTCTTTTTGGCGAGGAAGCTAAGCAAAAAAGAATCTAAGGTTTTTCTACAGCTCTCCTCCATTAAATTTAAATTCTATGTTCATTAAAGCAGAGAACTTGTCTTGTTATACTATTTACACCATTCCATAAAGCACTATGTGTATATGGATGATATACACCTACCAAAGACAAATGCATGTTAAATGTGCTATTAACATTAATTGAGTTGGAAAAAGCCAGTTATTCCTTCTTCTTCTTTTTAAACACTGGAAAGAGTGGAACTAAGTAGGGTTTTTTTTCTGCAGGAGCAGGTTCCACAGGAAGTAGAACTGGGATGGAGGGCAGGAGAGAGGAGAGAAGGAAGGAAGGAAGGAAGGAAGGAAGGAAGGAAGGAAGGAAGGAAGGAAGGAAAAAGAGAAAGAAAAAAGGAAAATGGAAGGGAAGAAAAATGGAAGGAAGGAGAGAAGAAAGGAAGAATGAGGGAGGGAAGGAAGGAAAGGAAGAAGGAAGGAATGAAGGAAGATGGAATGGACAGGAAGATGGAAGGAAGGAAGGAGGGAGGAAGGAAGGAAGGAATTTTGCTAATCTAGGCACTCAAGTGTAGATGAACAAGTGTAATTTTGCTGGCTGGGGAATTCTAGGAATTGGAAGTCTATCCATCTTCAGGTCACCAAGGTTGAGAAATACTACATTGTCAGGGTTGTTTTCTATCATGCCATGGTGGTCAGTGAATTCTATCATGGACAAATGAATATAATTATATGTCTATGTCTATGTTTATGTCTATTATTTCTATTTCTATTTTTCTATTTCTATTCTATTTCATTCCATATTTTCTATTCTATTCTATTCTGTTCTGTTCTGTTCTATTCCATTGCACTGCATTGCACTGTATAATATAGAATAGGAATACAGAATAGAATAGAATAGAATATATGGAAAGGAATAGAATGGAATGGAATGGAATGGAATAGAATAGAATAGAATAGAATAGAATAGAATAGAATAGAATAGAATAGAATAGAATAGAATA